AACTTTCGCGCCCCCAGAGACACCTGGGTTCCAACTCTGGGTTGCTACTTCGCTCCAAGAAATTCTCTCGAACCCAGGCTTCGGCCCTCATTTCCTCCCCTTCTCATTAAAAAGATTTACTCCCTCTTGCCCCGCAGCTACCGCCTGCACAGCCGACATGCTTTGGCAGATGAAGAGGAGCGCCGAGGTTGGGGTTCTGGGGAGAGTGGCGGTTTCCCCGAGTCTTAAGTCGTTCCCACGTGGTGGATTTTGCCTAGTTTTTTTTTCATTAGAAAGGGGAGTTCCGGCTACAAAGGGAACCTTTTTCTGTAAGGCAACACACGCTCTCCCACCTTCTTCCCCTCTGCCCCTGCCTTCCTCACGCCCCGGCTCCCACATGCGGAGCCCCCGTGCCACCGACCAGGCTCCGGCGAGGTCTGCTACCCGCCCGGAGCTCCCACCCTAACCCCGCGCAACCCGATTCCAAAGAAACGCGGCGCGAGCCCGCGGCGCTCGCTCCCTCTCGCCGGATCTCTTTGCCTTCCGCTAGCGGGACCCGCCGACACCCAGGTGAGAAGAGCAGAGGGCTTCGCCCCGCACGGTACCTTTCTGGTGAAAGCCTTTGCCGCAGAATTCGCAGACGAAGGGCTTGTAGCCCGCGTGGATGCGGATGTGCGTGTTGAGCGTGGAGCTGCGGTTGAAAGCTTTGCCGCACTGGTTGCATTTATGAGGCTTTTCCTGCGGAGAGGGGCGCGCACACAGTGAGGTTGAGTGCCGGGCAGGGAAAGACCACCTCGGGGGTACCTGGAAGGAGCCCGTTGGAGGGGCACGGGCTCTCCGAGAGGGGTACGGGGAACCCTTGGCCATCCTCTCCCCAAAGACGTCGCTCAGGCGCGGGGTGCTGCGCGCGGGCAGGCTGGACCCGGGGCCACGTACCTGGGTGTGGATAATTTTGTGTCTGCACAGCGTGCTGGCCTGGCGGAAGCCTTTGCCGCAGACTTTGCACACGAACGGTCTGGCTCCGGTGTGGACCGGCATGTGGCGGGTGAGGTTATAGTGAGCGTTAAACACCTATGGAAGGACACGAGGGGGCCTTGTGGTGTGTCCATGGGACAGCCTCGCATCAGCCCAGGGAGGCCACAGCTCACCTGGCCCAAGCGACACCCCTCCCCCCAACCAGAACCCCTTTCATTCTGCCAAGGGCTTCCCAACCCTCTGCTCTCGCCAGCTGTGTGTGGCCAGTGACCACGGCATCCCCATTTTACAGAACAGGAAACTGAGGCCCCCGACTGAAGTAGACAGCTATTGGGGAGCTCCTAAACTTGAGAAAGGGGAGTGACAGGCATCCCCAAGAAAGCAGCCGCCGCCGCTCACACCTCCCAGACCCCACGGACCCCAGGCCTCACCTTGCCGCACACCTCGCAGGTGAAGTTTTTCGGCTTCCCGTCCGCGGAGGCACCGGGCAGCTTGCCGTGGCCCTTGACGCCGCTGCGCTCGGCGGACAGGGCCGAGTTCTCCTTCAGCACCTGCTCCAGCGGCGCGGGCAGGCGCTCCTTATGGGCGTAGGGCGCCGGGTGGGGGAACTTGTCCGCGGCCAGGCCGGCCAACTTGGCGTTCTCCAGCAAAAAGAGCTTGGGGTGGGGCGCCAGGGCGGCGGGGGCC